AGAAATGGCTCAGAGCTTAAGAGTACTGACTGCTCTTCCAGAGGTTCTGAGTTCAGTTCCCAGTACTCACACACATCTATAATGACAACTGATGCCCTCTTCTGGCATGTAGGCAAAGAGGTAGATGGGACACCGTATACACAATAAAAACTTTAAATAACTGTATTCAGTGGCAGTGGTGAGAGACAGATCTAGCAGGACATGGCTGCCTGAGAAGTGGGCCAGTGACTGCCACAGTCACTGGCTGAAGACAGTAGTATTCAGGTATAGCCTCTGTGCCAGTGGGAAAACAATATTTTGGCACTCCATGTGTGTGACATGATCACATAAATGGAGAATTCACACTAGTCGGCCATTACTCGTGGGAACTCTGAAAAGTGGACTTATACTTGGAAACTGCAGGAGGTGCTTGAGCCCACCACCAAACTGAGAAGTCAGCAGATTTGGTGAGACATTGGGACGTCTTGAGGGAGAGAGCTGAGTAAAATTTTTTTTTAAAAAAATCATTTCCATGTTAAGGATGAAAAATATCACAAATGACCCTATATAATGCTACCATGGATGGTTTGAAAATGGAAATAGTAAATAAGGGGATAAAAGACTTAGCTGGGATTGACATAATGCCGATTATAATCAACATCAGTCTGGTAATTCATATCTCATCCTTAATAGCCACAGTGGTTTCTTTTGCCAAATATAAAATGTGTGGTCTGATAATTGTGCCAAATATGAAAAGTTGACAGATAAGATATAAATTTTAGAAAGACTTGTATGTAAAGATAAGAAAATTTGACTGATAAGACATAAGCCTTAGGCCAGGTGGTGGAGGCACACCTTTAGTTCCAGCACTTAGGAGGCAGAAGCAAGTGGATCTCAGTGAGTTCAAGGCCTGTCAGGACTGCTACTCAGAGTCTCAAAACAAAACAACAACAACAACAACAAACCAGACAAACCTTATACTGACCTACTAATGAAAATAAGAGAAATACTCAGACACAGGAATGTAGACAAGAACCCCCCATGCCACTGCATCATGAACTGAAGTGCAGTGTCCCAAAATTATTAGAAAATCTGCCGTAATTACTATACAATAACCAGGAGACAACACACACCCTAAGGTCATCAGAAAGTTAATGGAATCCTATAGACATATTCTATTTGAGGAGATTTGAAGAAGCAGTCGTTTCATATGGTAAGCATTCATCCTATGTAAAGCAGATGTTAAATTCATGAGCAACGCAGAACAGAAATATCCCACAAGACTGGAAAAAATTGGTCACAGAAATATTGAAAGCTGGTCTCAGACACAATGGATAACATGGTGGCAAGAGCAAGCTAGAGTCATAGAACAATGAAATAGGGCTAGAGGCATTGATGATTCCCAAGACCAGCTTCTAGGTGAGCACCAATATGCCGAGTTGCAACAGTTGAATTTGATGCATACAACTTGCTGCAATTTGTTACAGATAGTTTGAACTGGATGATCACACACTGGCCCTTAACAGCTTGAGTGCTTGGGACAAGGTTGAAGAATCAGGAAAAAAAAGACTTTTCTATCACTTGGTGCCTTTGTGTTTTCACTGCTGTGAAGAGATACCATGACCATGGCAACTCTTATAAAGAAAACATTTAATTAAGGGGATGGCTTACACTTTCTCAAGTTAAACCTATTATCACCATGGCAGAGAACACAGCGGCGTAGAGGGAGATGTGGTGCTAGAGCTGAGACCTACTAGCTCTTGCAGGTAAAAGGAAATCAACTGAGATACTGGGTGGTACCCAGAGCATAGAAAACCTCAAAGCACAGCAAACCCCCACAGTGACACAGTTCCTCCAATAGCTCATACCCACTCCAACAAAGTCACACCTCTTAATACTGACAATCCCTATGAGATGATGAAAGCCAATTACAATCAATCTACAGACTTGGCAACTAGCCAAGGAAAGTTTAAGGACATGTACCCTGTCCCAACAGTTAGAATTGGGCAGGATTTTGTTTTTGTCCTTCCAGGATAAAAGCATCCAACTAAGGAATCTATAGATTTCTGGACAAATGAGATATCTGAAGAGGAGGAATCATCAAGAGAAAATATCCCAAGAAAAAGAGTAAATCAGGGTAGAATTTCATCAATCTTCCCAAACATGGTCTTTTCTTAATCCCAATTCAATTAAAAATCAAAGCTGGTTTTGCAGTTGGAGCATGGCTTTCTTCTTCTCTAAACCCAAGCATGCTTGTTAAAGAAAAATTGAAAATCTCTGCTTCATGTTTGAAGAGCTGCCTAGTATGGGACAGAAGAAAATCAAAATTAAGGGACTATTTTATTGCCATGAATCCTTGGTTTCATTTTGACTCTTTGAAACTTTTCCTAAGATATAAATACTATCTCAAAATCTAAAAGATTTTCATGTATATATAAACTTTGTCAGGATATTAGTAGTCGTGTAGACTACTAATTAATTCTCAAAATAAGCTTCATCCAGCTACTTGTATATGTTTCAGGGTTTGAGTCTGAAGCAGGTAATTAGGCACTAAGCTTGTGTACCCCTGATGTACTTGATAGATTCTGGTTGTCTAACATTTCAGAGATCTGTTGTATACAGCATATAAAATGTTTTAAGTTTTCTGCAATAAACCATGACCGTTCTTAACAAGAACCTTCGAGTGCTCCAAAAAAATGAAGGGGTCCTTCAATAATGACTGTGGTAATGCCATTAAGCTAACAAACAATACCCAAAGATCAGTTTTGGCGTGCAAACCTTTAGGACAACTTCAGAGCAACTAGTTAAGATGGTCCAGGCTCACAGACTCCTCCAGGCAGGACTTCTGTTAAGCCCCACACTTTCTCACAGAGACTAGACAACAAATGATACAGCTAGCTTTCTCAGGACTTGGTCATTATCACAATTT